TTACAAATGTAATGTGGAAATTTCTTGTAAAAGCTTGAATGGATTGAAAATCCAATTGAATTATTTTTCACCCAATGTTTCAAAATAAGGAGTTTTACTCTGCAGGCTGCCTGTGACATTAACATCATCACTTCGCAGTTACTTTGCACATATCAACTACAAATTGACAAAAACTATCTGCTGTCAGTGAGGACAGTCTGGGTGCTGCTGCTCTGAGCTCCTGCAGGGGCCCCTGCCTGGCCTCTTTGTCCCTCCAGCCCACCCCTGGTGGGGCCGCAGTTGGGCTCCTTGAGCACCTGCATTTTGAACTGTTTCTGGTGCTCTCTGGGTCCTTTTCCTGAGGGGCAGCAGCATTCGGTGCAGTTGGCTGAAGGCTTAATCTAGGTAGTTGATCAGGCAGAGTGTGCAGTTGCTGCCACCGAACAGAGGTTGCCAGAAGTTGCTTTTCCCATTTGCTGCTCCTCTTGCAAAGCCATCTGAAGGACCCAACTGGTGGGAAAATTAATATAAGATGTGTTTAAGGAGGAAACATGAAGTCCTACTAGTATCTGTACTGTTACTTTTTACCTTCAACTAAGTGGGGGTCCGTTTCCAAATCTCTTGAAAGTGTAGGAGATGACAGGTTAGGGACAAAATTTTATGGCAACTGTGTCACTTGGGCAAGAAAAACTTCTCTGGTTCCCCACCCAGATCAGAGCCGGCTCCCCACTAACGGCAGGGAGAGGACACTGTGGAAACCTAAGGCAGAGACCTAAGAAGCTGTTGAGACAACTGATAGAGGAATGTGGAGAGGATCTTAGCAAAGAGTTTGGTGCTATTAGTGCTAAGCTCTCCACATAGGTAACTCGACAAAAGCATCTTTATAAACATTTGTTGCAAAATTAAAAAGTCCGTGGCAATTTCTCCAATTGTGCCTTTGTACTTCTACATTGCACGCATTATATTTATGGTTGAACCCAAAGGAAATGATGTTGAAAAAGGAAAGCAGGAACAAAGCGTTGTTCTTTAAAGTGTGTTAGCCGCAGGAGGAGCTGGCCATGACGTGGCAGTTTGGTTTTCTGTCAGGCAGCTCTCAAGCAGCAGAGCAAGCGGCCTTGGTTAGGGTCTCACTTCCTAAGGGCAGGGACTTGGAGTACTTTGCCAGCTGTCAATCACACTTTGCTGGATCAGTCTGCTGCTCGCGGTAAATCCCTTCAGGATTTCCTCGGGTCCACCTTGGCTACTTCCTCAGGCTGCCCTGAAATCACCAGCTAGCGATTTCATTTCAGTCTCCCTCCACTCCTTCAGGATTTGTAACTTTTTTCTCAAAGTGAGAACACTGACTCTTGATCCTTAACATGTTTGTATATAATTAGATCAACCCTCCTGTATGAAGCCAATTTCTCACCCCTGTCTCTGCCCCTTCTCCTGCATGAATGCCCTCCCCATCCCTCTCCAGCACTATGCTGGGCATTCTCTCCATAGGGTTGCTTCTTTACCTTGTCTGGGCTCTGGCATGTTCTGCCCCTTTCCTCACTGTGCTCTGGCTCTGACGTTCATCTGAAAGCTCCCTCCACCCATGGACTTCCACCTCCCCCGGGTCAGGCTGCTCCAGGGTTGGCTTCCCTTCACTGTCTGGGCTCTGACCCCTTGCTGTGGGCCACCTCAGTTCCCCTTCGACACCCTGTCCCCACTGACTGCCAGCACAGGTAGGACTTTGCTCTGCTTTCCCCAAACACTTTAACATTGGGTTGTTCAGGAAGACAAGGGAAGAGCAAGAAACAGAAAGAGAAAAAAGGAATGGGAAAGGAGGGGATGGTTATCCCTTGCTTTTTAAAGTAAAAGAAAGACAACTTTGAGAGATGGAATGGGAAATAAGCCTCTTCAATCAACTTTAAGAAAGAGTCCATGTGGGGTCTGCGGGTATGAACATTTATCTTGTTAGCACTACTCCTACCTGAGTATCTTGTGCAGTCTTTTCACACCCTCACGTGTATGTACACTCTGTTTTGAAGACTGCTGATCTAGGCATCATAAGTTAGTAACAGAAAGCAAGCACCTAGAAAGAGACTTCCCACCTAGGATCCTGGCAAGCAGGCCCCCAAGATTTTTAATTACCATAATTATTTTGCCCTAACCTGTATAGTTCTACTCCCCTTTCCCTTTTTCTGTCTTCTAGCATCCCACTTTCCTGTCAAGAAGCACACCTGTCTCCATCCACACCTCCTCTTCGCTGTAGAAGCTTTCACAGAACACTAACAGGGTCCTTGTTTCAAACTGCCTCTTCCTCCAGCTTGGGGACTGACTCCCTCCTCAGGCAGGGGCCCCAGACTTACCTTTGCCTCTGCAGTGTGGCTGAGTCTCTCATGATCTGTGGTTACTCTGGTTGTAGATTTTTGTCTCAGGAGTTTGGGGCTGAGAGCTGGAGGTGGTCTGGGTTAGAGGAAGGATATCCGGACGTGCTGAAAGTAAAGGAACTTCGTGAGACTGAGGCATATTCTCCTATAGACTTTGGACTTGGGCTGGGACTGTATGTGTGGCATATGTAGGGTGGAAACAAGTGCTAAGTTTCACAAAGCAATATTATGAGCATTTTCCATCTCATTTGGAATATGATACTTATAATCAGATATTATCTTGGTAAAGGTCTTAAACCTAAAGAGCAGGTAACTAGGAAAATTGTTTGCCTATAAATTAATGATTAACATCAGCAACTGAATCTGAAAGCTGTCTGGCAATCACACTAGTTACTTTGAACATGCTCCACATTCAGTTTCATACATTGCTTTCTTCTAAAACCTCCTACCTCACTCTGCTGGCCTTCTCAGCTGCCTCATTTTACTGACCAAAAGACACCATTAAATGGAAACCTTTCATCTCCTCTACATCAAATCTACATACACATACCCACTCCACCCAAACAAAGCCCAACATCATCTGTCTGAAATTTCTCCTTTTCTGTTGTAAAGTAGAAAGTAGCTTTTTATCTCCATGTCCTAGGACTTGTTTTCATTTTGTGAACTCATAATTTGTGTATTGAATTCTGTTCTGCTTGAACTCTCTAGAGATGTTTCTATTTCCTACATGTTATGCTGACTGATACACTCAAGTCTCAGTTTTCTCATCTGTTAAATGGGTTTAGTAATAAAGCCTAAAACGTCTGGGAAAGATGGGCCCTGTCTTGAGTCCCACATTTTAGAGGCCTCACATATCATAAATACATACAAAATGC